TTTTTTTTTTTTTTTTTTTTTTTTTTTCGTAATACTATTCAAGTTATGCTCCTCAATGTGCATATTGTAAACATATATGGAATAGAATAATTAATTTAAAAATATTGATTCAAAATGAAAACAAAAAAAAAATTTATTTTGGGGAAGTATATAGAAAATTAATAAATAAATTAATATTAATGATATAAAAATTATCAACTAGGAAAAATATAGAAAAAATACATGTATATATATATATATATATATATATATATATACATATAATTAATCAAACATAATATTTTTATGTTTAGGTAAATTGTGATGATAATTCTGGAAGAGAAATTTGTAAAAAATATGATGTTATAAATATACCACAATTAAAAATGTAAATTATTAAAGATTAGAAAAAAGGACTTTTTTTTTTTTTTTTTGTTGAATTTTTATTATATGTTATTTTAGGTTTAAAGGAAATGAGTTATTATCAACTTATTCAAATTATATAAATAATGAAACTTTTATAAAAAAGTGGATATATTATGTTACAACGTAAATTGAATTAAAAAATTTATAAAAAAAAAAAATAGTTATTCTTATTTATTTATTTATATATATATATCATTCTCAACCTTTTTTTATATATAACAATTTGGTTACAATTTAATAATTATTTTTTTTTTATATTCATTAAAAAGGCCAATCTTTTATAATATACATTCAGAAGAAGAATTAAATTCTTATAAGACAGAAGATAATATTTTCTTAATTTGTTCTGAAAATTTAAATGTTAAAAAAAAAAGAAAAAAAACAAATAAATTCAATAGATAAAAAATACAATTTTAACAAATAATTACATTTTAATTAAAATATCAAAAGTATATAAAATTTTGATATCTATATATAAAGAAAAAAAAAAAATTTTCTTTAGGAAGATTTAATTAAGGCAGCTAAGTTATACTATGATGGAAATTATTTTTTAAATATTAAAAATGAAGTTAAAATAAAATAAATACACAAATAATACTATGTAAATCTATTATTTCTTAAAAAAAAAAAAAAAATTAAAAACTCATTATTTTTCACTTTTAGGAAATGTGTAAAAAATTAAATATTGAACAAAATCATTTATATGTTAAAGGTTTATATAAACATGATACTTATAACTTAGATCAAAAGGTTAACATTTTCATACAACCCCTAAAAAAAAAAAAAAAAAAAAAAAAAGAAACACAAATAAAAATGCAAAAGAAATATTTTTTTAATATCCATATTTTAATAAATATATTCGAAGAAACTATCATTTGTTATAAGTATTTATTTTTTTTTTTTTTTTTTTTTGATGTTAAATTATTTATAGGATTTTGAATCATTAAAATCTTTCATAAATAAAAATAGATTTCCTTTAGTAAATAAAATTGATCATCATAATTTTTTTAATACAAGAAGTAGTGGTAAATTTATAAATCGAATAAAGATAAATGAATAAAATTATATTTTCCATTTTACAATAAATTATCATTTTTATTATTATTTTTTTTCATTCTTTTATTTATTTTTTTGATTTTTTAAGGAAATAATTTAATATTACTGTTACTTGATTTAAAAACAAGTTACAATTCATATATTTCAAAATTCACTAAATATGCAGAAAAGTAAAGAAGAAAAGTTTCATATTTATTTATATATATGTTATGCATAAATAATTATAGTTTTTTAAATTATTTAATTATCATGTATATGAGTGTGAAACGAATAAAAAAAAAAACTAGGAATTTCAATTTATAAATATAATTTATTATTTTTTATTTTTTTTAAGATACAAAAATTTGAATCATTTCATTTTTGGATTTATTGATGGATATTCTTATGAAGAAGTGAAAAATTAAAAAATATAATCATAACTAGTTTAATATATATAAAAAAATAACATACATACATATATATTTATAATTGTCTATTTAAAATATATATTATTTTAAAATTATTTAAAATAGAATTTAGAACTATATGGAACTGATTCAAGAAAATATCCTCAAATTGTTGTATTTAGCAAAAATCCACGTGTAAAAAAATTTTTTTTTTTTTAACATCTCATTTCTTTTTTTAAGTACTTTTTTATGTTTTTAAATTTTTATTTAGGAATATTATTTTGAAAACTACTTTGATTTAGATCACATAAATAGAATAATAGGTAAAAATAGAAATAAAGAAATATTTAAATATAAAAATATATAAATAATTATTAAAAAAAAAATAATGAACTTTTATCTTAATGGTATATATTTTTCTTTACTTTTTTTTTTTTTTTCATACAGATGATATATTGAACCATAAAATTAATTCAAAAACTGAAAAATTTACCAAAACAAAAATGTTATTATATATTCATAATTTATATAAAAAACAAATTATATTCACTATAATAAAATATATATTTTTTTTTTTTTTTTTGTAGATTATTAATTAGACTAAAAAAACACATGACTTATATTTTAGAAAAAGCATTTAAAACAGATTATATTTCATTCTTCGGTTTTTTATGTTCTATTATTTTAGTAATATATATTTTACACTAAAAATATAAAGAAAAAAAAAAATATATATATATATTTTAAATATTAAAAAATATATTAACATTTTTATTTGTTTCTTTAATTTTACAATTAACAGATAGTATTTACTTTTATATTAATGATTCATACTATTTATAAATTTATTAATAAATCAGAATATAATTTAGAAGAAAAATATAAATAGAGGATAATTACTTTAAGGTTATTTCAAAAAATATTTCTCTAAAAATATTATATCAAAAAAAAAAAATTATAATTTTTAAAAATTATATTTCTTTTTTTTTCAAAACTAGAAAATAATAATACAAAATTTAGTACAACCATTTTCATTTATATTCTTTTATCTAATTAAAAAAGATATAACAAAAATGTAGATCTTTAGTTTAATCTTAATTTTTTATTATTCTTTGTCTTATATGTAAATCATATTTAACCATTTTACTAAATTTCAGCATATATTTATTTTTATTTTTTTAAATCATTTTTTTTTTTTTTTTTTATGACAAGATAACTGTGAAAACATATAAGGAATATTATACGTTGAAACAATTATTTTCCTTTTTATACTTAAATTTTTTTTTTTTTTTTTTCAAATTTATATTTAAAATATTAATATATATTTTACCTTTTTTTTTTAAAATTATAATTATTTAAATGGAATAAAAATAATATATGTTTATATTAATTTTTATAAAATCTTGATGTTACTATTATTAAATATATAATTCCTAAAAATGTGAAATATTATGAACTTTTAAAAAAAAATTTAAATAATTTAGATGGCTGGAAGCCTACATTAATAGAAAAATTAAGACTACCTTAATAAATCTTATTATAAATTAGAAACTATATACTTTTGTATTTTGGACATTTCTTTTAAATATATACAAAATAGCGAAATTATGAGATGTATATATAATAAAAGGAAAAAATCTATATATGTAAAATATAATTTTATATATATATAATGTGTATATTTACGTTTAGATAAAATTTACTGCATGCATTTAAAAAAAAAAAAAAAAAAAATTTGCAAAGTAAAAATAAAATAATGAAAAAAACATTAAAAGTGAGAAAATACTAATAGAGGTAAGATTAGAAAAATCATTTTAATTTATATAAATTATAGTATTTATATATATTTATATAAGAATATTAAAAAAAGTATTTTTAGTTTTTATATGAAACTAAAAGAAAGAAAAAATAAATATATATTCTAGAGATTATACTTTGTGTGAGTTATAAAAATAAAAAAAAAAAAAAAAAAAAAAAATAAATATAATAATTTGATATTTATTATTATATTAGTAATTCTGGCATTTTTTTTTTTATTTTTACATTACATTTTATTATTAATATAATTATTATTTTATTTTATTTTATTTTATTTTATTTTTTTTTTTTTTACACATATATATATATCAATTCATAGTTGTTATTTTTTATGTGGAACATTTTTTTATTTCCATTTAAATTTAAAATATAAAAAAAATACGTGAAGTTATTTAGTAATAGGTATATTTAGGAAAGGTAAAATTATAATTATTTTTTTTTTTTTTTTTTTTTATATATATATAAAATAGAAATATTTATTTTTATATAAATTTATATTCTATATAAGTAAGGATGATGGATGATAATTCTGTTTCTAAATATATTTCAAAAGAAGTTTTAGCCTATGAACCCACAGAAGAAGAGATTAAATTTGTAAGAATATTTTATAATAAAATTAGAAAAGTTTCCATTATGAATATATATCTTTTTAAAAGTATTATTTTTTTTTTTTTTTTTTTTTTTTCTTATTTATAGTATCATAAGCATAACCATAAAAGTATAAGATATATTTTTTGCGGAAAAGAATTAGATGATTTTGAAAAACAGAAAATAAAAGAATTAAAAGATTATGTTAATAATTTAAAATTAAAAGAAAGAGAAAAAGAAAAAGATGAAAAATCAAAAAATACAATATTAGAAACATACGAATCACTTTTTAAGGATACCATATTTTTTGACGATAATTATGTGCTTAGATTTTTACAAGGGTTATTAAAGGAATTATAAAATTAAAAATATACATAAATATAATATATATATAAAGACAATAATTATTTATGTATATATATTTTTACATTCTCCCTTTTTATATATATATATAGAAATGAATTTATTTATGAAAAGTGTTATAATGATATGTTAAGACATATAAAATGGAGACAAGAAAATCTTCCAATACATTTAGGAGAAATTAAGGAATTTTTAGTAATGAAAAAAAATAAAATAAAATAAACAAATTAATAAACTATTTTTTTTTTGAGTATAAATATATTTACTTTTTGTCTTTTTAGAATAAAGGGTATTGCTATATTCATGGAAGAGATAAACAGATGCACCCAATAATAATTATAAATTGCAAAAATATAATATCAGCAAATACAGTAAATATATATATATATATATATATATATATAAAATAATAAGATTTATATTTTTATGTTATTTAGAATTTTTTTTTTTTTTTTTTTTTTTTTAAATTTTATTTAAATGCAATTATTTTTATTTATCTGAATATATATGTATATATATATATATATTTATTTATTTTTCTCTATTTTAGAAAGACGTTTTAAGAGTTCTCTATTACTGGCTTGGTAATTTGAATACATTATATATATCATAAATTTTGTTTATTTTAATTCATATATACTTTTTTTTTTTTTTTTTCTTTAGAATTTTGTATATCTAAATTATTAATTGAAGGTAAAATTGAACAATGGAGAGTTATAATTGATTTAACCTCTTGTGGTGTTTTAAATATTCCTATATCTACTTTAAAAGATATTTCTAGAAATTTAAGTGTAAAAATAAAATAAAAAAATAAATTAATTTATTATAAAAAATAAGATAAAAAAAAAAATAAAATAAATTTTAATTTTTTTTTTTTTAAGTGTAATTATAGATCTAGACTATCGAAAATGTTAGTTTTAAGTGCCCCTTTAGTTGTAACTGGTATTTGGCATATGCTTAAATCTATTATTCCTGTAACTATTGAAAAATATGAAATTTTTTTTAATTTTTAATTTTCTTTTTTTTTTTTATTTATTGCATTTAATTTTTATTTTTAATTAACAGGTTGTTACACAACAAAAAATAACTATAACATCTTCAGAAACAGAAGTATGATAATAAAAAATATTTTCAATATAAAAAGAAAACTTTTATCTTATTTTCAATAATTCAAATTTTTTTTTTTTTTTTTTAGAAAAAATTGCTAGATCAAGTTCAATTAGATCAATTAGAAAGTAACTTAAAAAATTTTTCTTCTATAAAACAGAAAACTAAAACATAATATATATATATATATATTTTTATTTTATTTATTTAAATAGTTTTATATTAACTATTTTATCCTATTATCTTTATATTTTCTTCATATTTTCTTTATATTTTTAGAAAAATTTGGAGGAATTTGTAACAATGCAACTAAATTTGATGAGCCTATTTTACCATAATTTGATCCATATAATTAAGATTATTTTTCCTTTCTTCATAAATTGTTATTTTTAATATCCTTTTTATATTTATTATATTAGATTTATATTTTATATATTTCTTCTTTCATTAGATAAACATACAAATCTATATAAACTTTTATTTTTTTTTTTTTTTTGTTTTATATTTTAATTCTATAATTCCTTTTTTTTTAAGTTTAAACTTACACATAATAATTTTATTTTTTAAAAACCTTTTATCAAAAAAATATTTATTTATTTCCAATGTATATAAATATATATACATTTAGTAAAAAATTTCATAGAGGTAATTTTGTTATTATACCAAAAAAAAAAAAAAAAAAAAGGAAAAAAATTATCTTTAATGATATACTTAATTTTAAATCCAGCAAAAATGAGATTGTAACATTTTAATTAAAAATATAAATGCATCATTTAAAAAAAAAAGAATAGACAAAATGTATTTTTTTTTTTTTTTTTTTAATCATTAATAAGATATGTTAGTTAAGTTTTATTTAATAATTCTTACAAATCTTGATCAAAAATTATATGATAAAAAATTCTTTTAAGGAATATAAAAAAAATGGCAAAAAAAGCATAAGAAAAGAAAAAAAATAAATGTAAAATAAAATAACATATTTTTTTTTTATCTTTTAATAACATATTTAACTTTTTTTTTTTTAAAAATTTTTTTAATAAATATGTTAGTTTATTTTCTTCATTTTGTAAAAAATCTTTAAATTTGTATAATGTATCTGAAATATTTTTATATATATATATATATTTATTTTTTTTTATTAAAAATAAAAGAAGAAAAAAAAAAAATAATAATAAATAAATGTTGAATTATATTGATTTTTATATTATTAAATAAAAAACATAAATAATATAATTTTTAAATTGTATTATTTAAAGTTTAAAGAGTTAAAAAATTAAACTAAAAATAATTTTAAATAGGTTGTTAAAATTATTATTCCAATTTTACTAGTACTATTTTTTTTTTTTTTTTTTACAAATAGTTCAATAAATAAACTATAAAATATTTGTAAGACAAACTTTTTAGAAATGATATAGTATTTAAAAATTATAAAACTCTTAAAATTACTTAAATATATAGAAAATTTCTTTATTTTGTATTATATTTTAACACATATTTAATAAAATAAAAAATGTAAAAATAATATTGTTACCTTTCCACCAATATTTTGTAAGTATATTGTTTTTTTTCATATATATGGTATTTTCATTTATTTCATTTATTTCAACATCGTTATCTTTTTCTTCTTCTAAATTTGAATAAAGTATTTTAAATTTTTGTTATTTTTTATTTTTATACATATTACAACTATATTCTTAATTTTTTTTATTATACTCATTTTACCTTTATATAAATTTCCACTTTTGTTTTTCGTATTTTTTTTTTGTTCTGAATTTGATAACTCTTCTACCATGAAATTTTGCTTAATTCCTGTTTTATTTTTTAATAAATTATTTAGAAAAATGTTATAATATAATAATTTTTCATAATTATTCATACATATAAAAATTTCAAAAAAACTTTATCTTCTTTACCTGTTTGAAAATTTGATGTATTTAATGAACAATTAGAAGTACTCTCAATACCGTATTCATTATAGCTTTTTACTTTATTAATTTTTAAAAATTTATCTAAATTATCTAAATTATCTAAATTAATATCTTCTACATAATTATCATCTACCTCGCTATTTTCGAATGAACTTTTTTTTTCATTAGTTAAATTTTCGTTTTTTATTACAGAATTATTATCTTTATTAAGCAATTGTTTGCTTTTATTTATACTATAAATATTACCTATAGATATACATTCATCAATGATATCTAAAGTTGTGAATTGTTTTTCTTCCTTTTTTGTATTTATTACTGTCTTTAATAATAATTCCAAGTCTTCATTATTTTTACTATCCAAATATTCATCATCTTTTAAATTTTCAAAAGTTTTTACAATACTACTTTCGTCACTTTTATAATTCTCCGAAATTGTTTCTTCTTCTGATTCTTCATTTAAGTTTATAATATTTTTAATACTAGTTAAATTATTTTTTATATTATAAATACTATCATTTATAATACGTATACTTTTATTAATAATACTAGTACTAATATTATCGTTAGAATTGTTTTCTATATTTATAATTCCTTCATTTTTATGTTTTGTATAACTATTATCTATTACTACATTTTCATTTTCCTTATTTATATTACAAATATATTCTTCATTTTTATTAGATACCCCACTTACAACAGCAATATCAGTTATATCGTTATAACTGTTGACTATTTCTCTTGGTTTATTTTGATTTACATTTTCCTTATTATTAATACCTTTTAAATTTTCTTCATTCATTTTTTTCATAAAATTCTTTATTTAAAATATCTTTCTTTCCACAATCTTCTTGTTCATGATTTATAAATGCTACTCTTAATTCGTTTAACTTATCTTTTTTTTTTTTAACTTTATCTTCTAAAAAATTTTCAAATGTATTTTTTTTTAATTTTCATCAAACTATTACTTCATAAAAATATTAAAAATAAAAAAAGAAACATAAATAATTAAAAATTAAAAAGTGAAAGAAAAAAAAAAAAAAAAAAAACATTATTAATAACTAAAAAATTAAAGTAAAAAAAGAAAATATTTAAATTATTAAAGATTAAAAAAAGAAAATTTTTATTCCTTTTGTCTAAAAATGTTTAATATATGAAAAAAAAAAAAAAAAAATATAATAAATTAAAATTTAACAAAAACAGAAAAATAAAATGTTTTTTTCTTAGTTAAAATACATAGGAACTTACTTTTTTTTTCTTTTTCCCTTCTACTTAATTTATATAGAGATATATTAAAAAAAATAAAATAAAATAAAATAATAACAAAATGAAAATACAAGAGACATATATATATATGTATAAAATATAAAGTAATATAAAAATTTTATGAATATAAATTTGAAAAATGAAAATGAAGTAGTTAAATATTATAAATCTTATTTAATTCTATAAAAGTATATATATATATTCATTTTAAAAGGACTATTAAATACACAAAGCAACTTACATAAAATAAAATATATTTAAGTCATTTAAAAATATAAAAAAAATTTAGATAGAATAACAAATAAATATAACTTTGTCATAATTTTTTTCTTTCTTTATATATACACGTGTTTTAATAAAAAAAGACAAAAAAAAAAAATATATATACATATATATATATATATATATATATATATATATATATATATATATATATATATATATATATATATATATATATATATTAAAATAAACAGAGTGAAAAAAAAAAAAAAAAAAAAATTAATAATAAATGTAATTGAAATAAGATTAAATTTCATTATTTTTATTAGCATCTATAATGGAAAGAATTCTATTATAAGAATTATCTAAAAATGTTAAAATTGGAGATGAAACAAATTTAGGCATATTTTCATATATAGATTTTAAATTTTTATAGGTATATTCAAAATCATATTTTTCTATAGAAGGGATAGTATATGTGTTATTAGTTTGATCTTCATTTTCCATAGTATTATTTTTCTTAATATAATCATCAGAATTTTGATTATTATCACAGCTACTGATTTTTTTGTCATTTATTGAATCATTTTTAATAATTAATGAATCTTTGTCCTCTTTATTATTAATATCAATTTTATTATTTAAATTTTTTTCTTTTGAGTTTAATTTTTCTTCATATATAATATTAGGTAAAAATATTTCCTCTTCATCATTTATGGTTTTTTTTTTTAAATTTATATAATCTTCTCGTAAATATATATTTTCATAAAAATACTTTCTTTCGTATTCCTTTCTTTTATTTTGTAAACTAATTGGAGCTAAATCAGATGAATTCATTTGTGCTAAATCACTGCAACTTATTGTTCCATTTAATATTTTTTTTCGTAATTCAGAATTATCTTTCCTTAATAAATTACTACATAAAGAAAATAATTTCATCTTCACATCTAGTTTATTTTTATATATTTGTATAACTTTTTCTACTATATTTTTACTAATAATTTTTGTATTAACATTCATATTTTCTTCATCTAAACACTGTTTTATTTTATCAATCACTTTAGTATACTTTGTTATATTTCCTTCTTCTTCTTCATTGTAATCACCTTCTTTTTCTTCTATTTCTTCTTCATATGTTTGATATTCTTCTTTTCTTTCATTATTTGATTTCTCAAAAATATTACTATTATTTTCTTCATTTACGCTTTTTTCTTTTACAGGTAATTTCTTCATTTTTATATTTTCCTTTTTTTTTAATTTTCCTTTTTTTTTAATTTTCCTTTTTTTTTTTCTATTAGAGGTATATTCATCATTATAGAAAACTGAATCGTCACTGTAAATTTCTTCATTTAATATTTGATTTTCTTCTATAATATCTTCATCTGTGTATTCTTTTACGTTTTCATTAAAATAATAGTCTTCACTTTCACTAGATATACAACATTCATTAAATAATTCATCTTCCTCATTTTTTTTTTTTCTCTTTTTTTCCTTCATTTTTTTGGTATCTCTTTTTCCCATGTAATTATCAAAATTTTCACCTTCTTTCATTTTATTTTTTAAAATCTTCTCATTATTATTTTCATTACCATTAATATTTTTTTTAACTTCAATCTCATTCATTACACTTTTTTCATCTTTTTTTTCATTATCACTTGTATTCTGTAAATCATTATAATTTTTTTTTTCATAGATATCCTTTTTGCATTTTTCTTCATTACTTTCTCCACATATTTGATTATCATCATTATCATCTTTAGAATTATATTTTTTAATTCCTTTATTTTTATTAATTTTTTCATTAGCAGATTTTTCATAAATTTTTTCTTTTTCTTTTTTATTTCTCATTTTTTTTGTATCACATTTACCTTCATTTGTCATTAAAAAATTGTTTTTTTTTTCTTCTATTTTATCTTTTTGAATTTCATTAGATAAGAAAAGAGAACTTTCATTAGATAATGTATTGCTTTTATTATTACTGCTAATTAATTTTTCTTGACTTTTTTTTTTTTTACTAGATATAGAAGAATAAATACTTTTTTTTTTTTTGGAAAGTGTATTTTTCATATTTTCATTTAAACGCGATTTTTTTTTAACTGCTAGTAATGCTTTTTCTTTTATAACATTATATAATGAAAAAAATGAAATATCAAAATTGAAAATACATTTAATATGCTCATTATATAATAAAAAATTATGATTAAATAAATTTACTAAATCACAAAAATAGTAAAAATATTCTATATGCTCATTAACGTAAAATATATTATTATTAATACAATTTAAGCATATAAAATATATATCTGTTTGTTTAACTTTTTGTCTTTTTATTTTTATATCATATAATTTTTTATACCTTTGGAGAAACAAATGCATTTTATTTGATGGTGTGTTGTTATTAACAGAGTTAAATATTATATGAGAAAAAATTATGTTAATATCATAATATGTCCTACAATTAAAACAAAAATAATAAAGAAATTCGAAATTTTTATAACTTAAAACGTAATCATTATTTTCTTGATAATATATATTATTTTTATCCTTTATTTTATCATATAAATTAGCATTTATAAAAAAATTTAAATCTTCATTATTTTTTCTATTTAGAATAATGCAATTTTTTTTAATATTCGGAACTATTTTCGTATTTTTACATAAAAAATTTTCGTAATAAAATATCCTGAAGGAGCAATTTTTTTTCTTTCTTATTTTATATTCCTCATTTAATTCATTGAATACAATATCTTCATCATATATGCAGATATTTTTGTTATTTATATTTGTTGCATTATATGATGATCCTTTATCATCATTTTGCTTATTTTCAGCTTCTTTATTACCTATTATGGTGCTTTCTTCTATGGTTTTTTCTTCCAACTTGACATTTATGCCATTGCAATTATGATTATTCCCACTAATAATAGTATTGCTATATTCATTTTTACTTTTTAATTCTTTTTCATCTTCATTTATATTTTCTATATTTTTCTTTTTTGATTCATCATTATAATTTAGTAAGGGTTCATTATCAATAGAATTATAAACAATATTATGTTTTAAATTTTTTTGAAAATTATCAATTTTTAATTTCCTATTATGTTCACAACATAAAGGAAAATCATTGAACAAATATAAAAATTCATAAAAATTATACACTTCAATTTTATTTATTATATTTTCTATGCTATTCTTATCAAAATAACCTAAACATGGTAATACAGTCCATTTATTTAAATGACTTTCAAAATTATTATATAAATATTTATTACAATCACTATAATTATATATCCATTGACAGATAATATTTGTGTTATCATCATTTTTTACAAATTTATAAATTTGAGAAATGTAAGATTGTTTATTACATCCTTTAATACCAATAACATCATATTTTCTGAATTTTCCTAATATGGATTTAAATTTTTTTTTTTTTTTTTTTTTTATTTTTTCTTTATTTTCACTATTTTTCTTAATTATTTCTAAATTCTTTAATTTATTCATATTATTATTTTCACTGCTTTTATCTGAAATGTTTGAAGATGAAGAAGAAGATGATGATGACGATGATGATGATAACGAAGAATAAGATGAATCAGAATTAGAAGACGAAATAGAAGAAGAATAAGAAGGTGAATGTGAATCATGAGAACAGTCAAAAGAATCTATTTTGTTTTCTTTTTTTATTATATCATTTGTATCCATATTTACATTATCAATATCTTTATCATTTTTACAACTTTCGGTTTTATCACAATTTGTATCACTTGTTAAATGTTTTTCTCCATCTTTAATGTCACACTTAATTTCGTGATTGTTTTTACAAAAAAAATCTTTATTAGGCTCAGATCTTTTATTATCATCTTTCGTAATTTTATATTCAACATTATTTTCTAAACAAAAATTCTCTAAGTATAATATATCAGATATAGATGGATTTTTTTCTGATACATAATACAATGAATTTTTGTTTAAATAGTAATATAATTTACAAATATCATTTAACTTTATATGGTTATTCACTTTTCTTATATCTAATTTTGTTAAGTCGAAATCAAAAATATTTTTTGCATTTACATCAATAAATTGTATTGGTTCATATTTATTAAGGTTTACAATATTTACATTTTCATTCTCCTCATCGCAAATTGAATTTTTTTTCTTCATTTTTAACAAATTTTTATATATTCAATAGAAAAAACGAATATCAGATCATATATGACATTTGAATAAAAGAGAAAAAAAAAAAAAAAAAAAAAAAATTAAAAAAACATATAACAAAACTATAAGTATATAATAAAAACGTTATAATTCAAATATACAAATATTATTTTAAAGAAAATATTTCCTTATTTTCTTTTGTTTCTTAAAATATATGTATTAATTTTTCTATAACTTTTTTTAATTTTTATTCATTAAAATAAAATTTAAATATTTATTCAAATATTTTTTTTCTTTTTTTTTTTTTGTTAAAGTTCATTCAAATAATATTCATTGTAAGCTTTTAAAAATATAAACTAAAATATACGTATCTTTAAAGATTGTTTAATTTTTTTTTTTTTTTTTTTATCTTATCTTNATATGAACTTTCATATTTATGTATATAAATATAAATGAATAAATTTAATTTAAAAAAAAAAGAAAAGAAAAAGATATATGAAACAAACACATTTTTTTTAATTATTATATAGTAACATAAAAATTATTATTGATACCCTTACAGAAGTACGTACATTCCTATTTTATAATTAAAATTTATTAACTTATTCCAAGTATTTTTAAGTAATAATTTTTTATATCTTAAAAATAATTTTTTTTTTTTTTTTTTTTTGGTTTTTTTTTTGGTTTTTTTTTTTGGATTTTTTTTTTTTTGTCAATTGTTATCAGATAGATTTGATTTAAACTGTATCTTTTTTTTTTTTAATTGAGCAAAATTTATTAAAAGTGTTATTTTTTAATTATTTATCAACTATTTAAATATATGAATTTGTCAACTTTTTAAAAATTTATAATGTTTAATTTTGATAAAAATTTTGAAGAAAAATTTGCAGTAGCGATTGAAACACCATTAAAAAACAATATATATGAGTACTCATGTATGGAAAATATAATAAACAAAAGCTCTAAATGTTATTTAAATAATTGCAACTTGAAAAAGCTAGAAGAAAATTCAAATATAAGATTAATAGAAAAATCAGATACACAATATGAAATATCCAATAGTTTATATAAAAAATTTTTAGAGAATTCGTATATGAAAAAATGTGATTTAACAGATTTTGATAAAAAAAAACAGGATATATTAGAAAAGAAAATAAATGAAATATATTACTGGGAAAATAAAATAAAAAATTTATCAAAAAAAAAAAAAATAGCCATTAAAAACAAAGTAAAGTCACATTTAGAATTAATGAAATATAATGATAGTAGAAAAAAATTAGAGAAAATAGAATATTTAAAAAACAATAAAATAAATGAGCAATTAGCTATTTTGGCTAGAGCTGAATATGCTAAAGAAGTCATTGAAAGAAATATAAAATCAAAAAAAATAGTAAAAGAAGACAATATAAATTTTGTGATACTAAGTTTGGAAAACTTAAAAAAACACATTGAATACACTTATCTAAATAAAGAAAAGGAAAAAAAAAATAATTTTTTTTCTTTATAAAATCTAATATCTCTTATTTTTTTAGTGACATAAAAAATTAAGCAAAATATACATTATTAATAAACTAATAAATTTATTCTAGTAAGAAAAATAATTATTATTTTTTTATTCACCAATATATTTTAAGTATTTATTTTGTATTATTTAACACTTATTTTATTTTTTTAAATTTATATATATATATAGTGTATGTTGTTTAATTATATAATTATTCTTTTTTTTTTTTTGTATTCTTTTTTAACTTTATTTTTATTTTTTTTACATTACATATATATATATATATATATATATATATATATATTTTTTGTATAAGTAGAAATTAAAAAATAAAATAAAGAAATGTTAAAATTGCATATTTATAATAATAATCAAATATATTTTTTATTTATTATATCAATAAGAAAATTCTAATAAATAAAAGAAAATATACATATATAGAGTTATACTTAAAAAAAAAAAAAAAAAGGATAATTTAATGTCAAAAAAAAAAAAACAAATATTTAAAAGAGTAGCATACAAAACATTAAAAAATAGAATATATTTTAAAAAAAATTTTCAATAAATTTATTTTCTTCTAATGAATAAACAAATTATATTAATATATTAATAACAAGAGTTTAAATATTTTTTTTTAACATTACTTTTAAAATTCTCTAATAAAATTTTAAAATATATTAATGTTGTTTCTTTTATTCATTCATATTTATTTTAACTCGTTTATTTTAATTACTTTTTTAATTTACGTTAATTTTAAATATCTCCTCTAAATTTAATTTTGGAGTTGGAACATTATGGGATTCAATAATGTTATTGTAATTATCACTATTAATATTTATTAAAATTAAAAATTCAATTTTTAAAATTCTCTTTTTTATTTTATCATTTTCATCAACAATTAATGTGGAAAATTCTTCTCCTTCATTTAGTAAATCTACATATATATCATCATTAAAATTAATTTCTTTTTTAAAACTATTATATGCATTGTTATAAATTTTCATCATTTTTGTAGCTTCTAATTCTACAGTGGCAGATAATTCTTTATTAATACAATAAATTGAATAATTAATAAAGTTATAATGATCATTAAATGAATCATCAACTGAATTATGGTGATCATAAAAAAAATGGCTTTTTTGTGATTTTTTCAGTTCCATTTTTTCTTGAGTATTACTTCTTAATAATAAATTTTCTAATAAATCAAATATACCTGCATTTGCTTCATTAAAGCTATTATATTTGTTTGTTATTAATTCACTTATACTTTCTTGATTTATTGATGGATCTAAAATTCCTTTTATCTTTTCAAAAAACCATTCGTTCGTAGATGACATTATATTTTCATTTTCTTTATTATCTGCATTTTCTACCTTATTTTCATTTTCTACCTTATTTTCATTTTCTACCTTATTTTCATTTTCTACCTTATTTGCATTTTCTTCATTATCTGCATTTTCTACCTTATCTGCATTTTCTACCTTATTTGTATTTTCTTCCTTATTTACATTTTCATCATTATTTGTATTTTCTACCTTATTTGTATTGTCTTCCTTATTTACATTTTCTACCTTATTTGTATTTACTTCATTATCTGCGTTTATATCTATTTCTCTTTTATTTACTTTCTCTTCTTTTTCAATTAATTTTTCTTTTGATGTTATTAAACAATTTTCATCATTCTTATCATTAGATATTATTTCATCATTTTTTAAATTTAATTTATAATTCTCATTTCCTTCATCACTAGTGCAATAATCAGCATATGAACTCAGATCACTTAAAAATGGAGATTTATTCCTATTTTCCTTGATTTTTTCAATTTTTTTTTTTTTTTTCTTTTCTTTTTTATCAGAGATTGAATTGTCACATATTTCAACTAAATCATTTCCTAAATTATCTTCAATTTTTAAATTATTTTTATCTTCATTTCTATTGATTTCATCATTTATTTCATTTTGAATTTGTTTTTCCTTTAAAAAAAAAAAAAAAAAAAAGTGATATAAAAGCTATTATAAAACCTTTCAAAAATTAGTCATATTGAAGTATATAAACATACATATAATTAATTTTTATAATATTAAATTTTTTAAATAATTATTGTCACATAAATATTATTTTATTATTTTCTTTTTACTTCATATCCAAAAATGTTCCAAAATGTAAATTTACTGTTGGTTTCCTATAAAAAAGGAAAAAAAATATTTATTTAAATATTACTTAAAAAAAAAAAAAAAAAATTCATATATTATTTATTCTTCCTCCATTTCTCATATATAAGTATATTTTTATACTTTTTTATTTTTCTAATTTTTCATTAAAGTATATCTATTACAGTGTCAATATTATAATTAATGAGATTCCACATTATATAAGTTTTTATAAAAAACGAAATCAAATTTATATGAATAAGAATAATAATAACCCTTGCAATTTTTCATTAAAAAATTAAAATTAAAAAATATAAAAAAAAATGCTAATTAAAAGGAAAAATAATAAAGTGAAAGGTAAAATTAAGAAAAGGGACAAACAATATTTAAAAACTGTTTACCACAAAAAAAAGAAAAAGAAGTTAAGTCAACGGATCTTACAAAAAAAAAAATTTAGCTTAAATAATATATTTTATAATATAGAAAGTTTTTACAAAAAAGTAACAAAAAAAAGAAAACAAATAATAGAAAAAGTATAAATCAAAAAAAAAAGAAAAAAAAAAAAAAAAAAAAATTAATCTAATGTTGCTTCTTTAAAATTTTAAGTTTTAATTTTTTTTTTTTTTTTAATATATAATTCGCGTGCATTTGAAAGTTACAAGGATCAAAAAAAAAAAAAAAAAAAAAAAAAAAAAGAAAATAAACATACATATTTTAATAAATTAGAACTTAAAAATTTTTGAAAAATATACATATTTATATTTACATTAATTTTCAATTTAAATTTTATATACAATAATTTTTTTTTCGCATACTTTCCTATAATACATATTTTATAAAAATATATATATATAAAAAAAAAAAAAAATAAATAAAATAAATAAAAATATATATTACTATATATATTTTTAGCTTATATTTTTGTTCTAAAAAAAAAAAAAAAGAAAATAAAAAAAGAAAAAATGTAAATATAGAAATAAACACATTTATAAATGAGTTTAATATTTTTAAATGTTTAATTTTTTTTAAATAAAAGTTTATATTTTAAATGCAATTAATGAATATATATAAAAAAAAAATTTTTTTTTAACAATATAATAATATTCTTTTAATGGCCAAACGAGATGTTAATTTATGTTTAAATTTTCAAATTATATTTATATAGATATAAATAAGCCGCTAATATTTCAAAATAAAGTTTTATATATTTTAGGATATATATATATATATATATAGCTTTTATTTTTTTTTAATTTTTGAATACAATAAATCTTTTTTTTTTTTTTTTTTTCTCATATAACATTTTATTTTTGTTACATATATTTTTCTTCTAAATATTTTTTTAAAGTTGAATATTTTTATTTTATTTTTGTTTAGTTATTAGAATTTTGTTTATTGTTTAAAAATGCATAATTATGAAAATAATTACAAAAAAATATTTTGTGAAAATGTAAGTGGCATAAATGAAAAAGACCTTGATGTTAACGTAGAAAAAAATCAAAATTTTATTAAACTAAATTCTTTCAATATTAAGGAGGATAAACAAGAAAATAAAATTATTAATAACATTAATAGTAATCATATGAGAAGTTATAATAATTATTTAAATAAATATAAAGAAAATAATGATGCAGATAATAATAAATTCTTAATAAATAATTGCAATTTAATTAATAATTATGAAACTTCAAATATAAATTCATCTTCATCAAAAGAAGTATCAAATTGTAATGACATAATATATAAAAAAGAACAAAATTTTTATTCACATATAAAAAATATACATACAAATAACGATAATGAAATTAACAATAAAGAAAAACACAATATAAATTATGATAAAGATAAAACGAAAAATGATAAATTTTATATAAATTATGAAAAATCAAATAAAGGAAATTTAAATATGGAAAACAAAAATGAATATAATACAAATTCAAATATAAATGTATTAAATATGAATTCTTGTAATGATAAAAATATATCTCTAGAAAATTACTCTAACGTATTTGTTACTTGTAACACTAATAATAGTAATAATAACAGTAAACATTTGAAGATAAATTATGAAAATTGTATAAATGAAAAAGAAAATATTAATTTATATAAATTGAACAATAGAGGCATCACCTATTTTGAAAAAAATATATCACAAGTTAGTGATATAAGTAATGAACAATTTAATACAAACAATAATAATATTTCTCACCGTATAAATAATGAAAATTTTAATGATCATTATTATAATAATCATTTAAATATAAGAAAAAATAATTTATATAAGTCTAATGATATTATTAAAGATAGAATTTTCGTAGATAATGCGAAAAGTGAATCCCGAAATAATAAAAAATATATAAATGTTAACAATGATAATTCATACAATATAATTTATGATAATGAAAATAAAGCATTAGTTAATTATTATATTGATAGCAATAAAGTAAATAGTTTAATAGATAAAAATATGAATACAGTTAGTAATAATTTAGTAAATATAAAAGAAAAAGACAAATATTTAATTAATTCATATAATACAAATGAAACAGATAAAGATAATAATAATGTTATTACTTTAAAAAAAAATGATACAAATCATTTATTTAATTTAAATAATAATTATACTGAATATGATTTTAATAATAATAATTATTATTCAATTTGTGAAGATAACAAAAATATATTAATTGATAAATTTAATGGTAATAATTACTATAATATTGAGAAAAATGAATTTTCTTTAATTAAAGAGAGTAATAAAATGGATGTTAATAAAAGTAATTATAATGTTTATGATTATAGTAACTGTGAAAACAAAAATCAATTAAATTGCAAAAGAGATTATATATCAAGTGAGAATTTGCATAATTTAAAAAATATAGAAATAGAAAACAGAGGTTTAAATGAAAAAGAAATAAGAAATAATGATGAAGATAATAGTTGTCTTAATATAGACAAAAATAATTTTAATGAAGAATGTAAAAAAAAAAGTACAATTAATAGAAATAATCAAATTGATCGTAATCATAATATTTTGGAGGGTAATAATGGTTATTCAAAAAAAGAAATAAATAGTTTTAATATAAATAGTAATGAAAACAAAATTACTATGATGAATAATAATAATATAGCATTTTTTTATGACAAAATTGGGAATAACATAGATAATAATATAAAAATAAATGAAAACTTTAAGAATAGTAATTATGATAATAAATCATTTTATAATAAAAATAACAAAAATTTTCTTACAGAAGATCATACTATCAATAATGTGCTTAATGAAAATAATACACACCTTGATAATTTAAAAGACTTAAAAAATATCCATAATTTTAGTGATTATCTCAATATGAAGAAAAGTGATGACCTTTTTAATTTTAATGACAATTCTGACATAATAAATACCTTTGTGATTAAATATTTAAGTGATATAGATAAAATATATGAAATAAAAGAAAAAAATAAAAAAAATGATAATAATATAAATAGTTATTATAACATATTAGAATTATTATATAATGCATGTAAAAAGAAAAAGAAATTGAAAGATAAAAGGATAAGAGCATTGTTATATGTATTTAAATATATTAAAAAAAAAGAGAAAGAAAAAAAAAGAAATATGTATTTATTTGATATAGTAACATTAAAAAGATTGAATAAGCAAGTTGATTTATATATAGAATTTGTAAAAAAAAGAGAATATAAGAAAGATTTATGTTTACATTTGCATAAAAAAAATAAAATGAATGACGGAATAACAAATTGCAAGAATTTTTCGTATTCACAAACGAAATTTATTCAAAATATTTTAAATAAAAAATCAAATTTATTCATCAAATCGCAAAATCAACCACAAGTTAATAATAATCATTTTTATTTTAATCATACATTAAAAAAAGTTACTTATATAAATAACTTATTAGTGTATATTCATTTTATTATTTTAAAGTATATTTCTATTTTTTCAATAAATCAATGGAATAAGTTGCTATTTCAAGATATTGATAATTATAACGATCAAAAAAATAAAACATTTATAAAAAATTATATTAATTATAAAGATAATAAAATGAGTTTCCATGAGACATTTGTTTTTGTAAATAAACTAAACACAAATCAAAATTTTGAAATGATGAAAAATAATTTTAATGAAAAATATAAATTCCCAAATATTGAAAAGAATGAAGTAATACATAAAAATGAAAACAAAAATGAAACACAGCAGACGTCAGAAAAAATAAATGAACAAGAATTGGAAGAAAAAGGAAATTCGAAAAATTATAATTATATTGATAACCTTAATAAAAAGGTATATATAGGATTAAAAAATGAAAAAAATGATAATTTTTTTCATGATAGTAACATAAATAGCAATACAAAAAATAAGGAAGATAATTTTTGCATTAATAATTTAAATAAAAGTTCTGAAAAAGAAATGGATATTATTTCTTTTAAATTTGATAATAAAAATGTTATGAATAATAATAATGATCCTTCACACAATGGTAATAAAGACAGTAACTACTATATAAATTTAAATAATAATAGTAGCAACACTATTAATTATGACAATGTAAATAATAATAGTAACAATAATAATAATTATGATAACATAAATAATAATAGTAACAATAATAATAATTATGACAACATAAATAATAATAGTAACAATAATAATAATTATGACAATATAAATAATAATAATAACAATAATAATAATTATGACAATATAAATAATAATAGTAACAATAATAATAATTATGACAACATAAATAATAATAGTAGTAACAATAATAATAATTATGATAACATAAATAATAATAGTAACAATAATAATAATATTAATAACAGTGATAATATAAAAAATAATAGTAATCAAAATAATTACAGTGATAATTTAAATAAAGATAGTAATAATGAAAATAATCATAACAGTAACTATGATAATATAAAAAATAATAGTAATCAAAATAATTACATCGATAATTTAAATAATAACAGCAATAGTGAAAAGAATCAAAATATAAATGATGATAATAATAATAATAATTACGATGATAATTTAAATAATAATAGTAATAATAATAATAATAATAACAATGAAATTGGTAATTCAAATAATAATTTCAATATTCCATTAGCAAATAATAGTACTTATAATATAAATAAAAATGATAAAAATATTACAAATATTAACTGTTATTTAAATAATAAAAATAATAATGATTTATATACATACAATAACACATTTAATGAAATAAATAATTACGAAAATAAATATCAAGAATTAAATAACGAAATAATAGAAAAATTAAATCCTCTTAATATTAACAATGAAAATATTATTGATATTAATTATTATGAATATGTGATTGAGCCATTTGACTTTTTCTTTTATGATCAAATATATAATGAGATATACAATTATTTGCAAATGTTAAAAAATAATAATTCTTATTCAAATAACACTTATATGAATTGTGAAGAAAATCTAATAAAGAATTTACCATATCATCATTATGAATTTATTGAAATATTAATGAAGGAAATTATGAATGTTAGAGATTTAATCTATCGTAATAAATATGTAAGATACCTTTTTTATTATATATATAAAAATGATAAAAATAATTTAGTAGAAAGCATAAATAAAATTTTATCTTTAGAAAAAAAAAAGGTTTTATTATATAAAATACAAATGAAATTAAGATACAACATTTTTATTTCACGATTTTTTGAAAATAATTATATAATTATTAATAATACTGAAGATAAAGAACAAGAAGGAATAAATTTTAATGAAGCAAAAAGTAAATTATTTAATACTTTTTATAATAAATATAGTGACTACTACAATGAATATAAAGACAAAACAAACCAAATGAGAGAAAGAAAAAAAAAACTTTTTAATATTTGTGAAGAAAAATTTGGTGAAATTAAAAAAAAATTAAATATGTATTCTGATTATTTTAACAATGTGAGAAGGAAATTAGAAATAAAAACGTATATATATGAGGTGAATAAGAAGGAAGAAATATCTGTAAAAAAAGAATTAGAAAAAAACAAAATTCAAGAAGAAATAACAAAAGAAGAGATTGAAAAAGTTGATAAAGAAAATATAGAAATGAAAAAGGATGTAGAAGAGGGAATTCAAAAAGAAGAAAAAAAAAAAGAAATTAACAAAAATGAAGTAATTAAAGAAAACACATTAAATGATAGAATAGAAAAAATTGTTGATTGTCTTGAAAATGTTCAAGATAATGAATACGAAAAAGAAAAATTAAATTTTAGTGTACCTTATAACTACGTGGAATTTTTATATGATAAAAATTATACTATTATTATAAATAGCGAAAAAAGTAATTCAAGAAAATTTAAAGCTTCTTATATAATAAATTCTAATTTAAAGGGTAATGAAAATTTATTAATTATAACATCAATACTTAATACTGTAACATGGAAGAAGTTATTTTTCTCTTTTAAAAATATAACCGTTTATAAAAATGAAGAAAGTATAATAGAAAATAAAATATCCGACTTATATTCAAACCTTATTATATGTATAGATTTCTTGCCAAAAATTTTACATGTTACTTGTGATATAATATTGTTAGATTTATGTCATTTTAATTTATTAAATCAAATAAATATATTAAATGATTTATCCCTTTTAAATGTAAAAAAAAAAATATTAATATTAAATTGTTTATCAGATAATTGGAACTTTTTAAGTTCATTATTTTTCTTAAATAACCACATTTCTAATAATTCATTAATCAATAGCACTTTTCAATTAAATCATAGTGAAGAAGATAAAAAAATTTTAAGTAATTTAATGCTTGAATTTATTTCCAATTTTTGTATAACAAATCAACAAAATTCATTATTAGAAAGGAAGAATAGAAAATGTTTTATTTTAACATATATGAGTGGTATTCAAAAATTTATATATGATAATGTAGATGATAAAAATAAAATTCTTGCATGTGTTCATCCACTATTGATGTTAAACGAAAAAAATTTTTTTTTAAAAGATTTTAACATATCAGAAAAGTTTGAATTATTAAAAAATATTATAAAAAAATTTTGCGTTTTAAAAAAAAAAATACTAATATGTTATTCTGGAGAGAAACTAGTAATATTAATACAAATACTCTTGTATCTTTATTCGTTACATAATTCTTCGAACATATTATTATTCAATCATGAAATTAATAAGGATATTAATTTAGATAATTATGATGTTGCTATAATAGTGAATAATCACACAGAGTTTTTAGAATATTTTAAACATGAAAAATTATCTTGTTATTTTTTAGTATCTACATACACTAAAGAAGAAGATTCTCTATTAGAAAATTTCAAAAATAGTAAAGAATTATACTTTTTTAAAAAGAAAAAAGAAGAATTTATAAACGCAAAAAAAAAGAATAGAGAATTACTTTATAGATATTATATTAACAATCTTATTTCAGAAAATGATGAGCAATTTATACTATTCAGTATAATTGATCAAAAAGAGAAAATTTATTCTCATACCTCTTATAATGAAATAGTATTACCCACTTGTTTTTCTACAATATTATCTAATTGTGATAATGTTTCACAGTATACTGGTTAAATAAAAGAAAAATTTTTATAGATTGCATATATATTTTTTATATACTTACATAATAAATATATTCCTAATATTTATGAAAATATTCTATGTTTCTATTGTTATTCTTTGCTTATTTATGTATAATTATATGTTTATATATATTTTTATTCTTTTTTTTTTTTTAATAGAATATTGGAAAGATATAAAGAATGCTCACAATTTTTGGGACTTGAATATTTTGAATAAAGAAAAAATAAAATTTTACTTAGATAAAAAAAAAATGATATATGACAAATATCAAAATATTATATCCCCAATTTCAGAGGAATACTTACCACCACCTCAAGTATAAATAATATATATATATATATATAAAATAAACATTTCAAATATATAATTAGATACACCTATTTTATATTCGGTTATTTCATCATGTTTTATTTTTTTTTTTTTATTAGATTCATTATTATTTGAACAATTCCATGAACGAAAAAACTACGTTTAATTTTTGCATATCTATAGCTTTAGATGAAATTATTCAGGAATTAAGTAGAAAAAAAGAAAAAGATGATTTTGATGAAATAAAAAAGAATATCTTATTAAATATTAAGGAAAAATCAAGTAAAAATTATTTTTCTTCTTTACGTAAAATGGAAAAAATCTTATGTAAATTTTTGGAGGAAAATAAAAAAAAATCTTTTGAGCAATTTTTAAAGGTATTTTAATAACTTATTATTTTTTTTTTTTTTCATTTTTAAAATAATTTTTCTTTTATAAAAATGAAAATTGGAACATTTATGTGAATTTATATATATATATATATTTATATATTTTTTTTTTTTTATGTAGTGTTGTGAAAGTTATAGTCAAATTATAATGAAGTGTACAGAAAAGTTATTTTTCACTTTTAACAAATCATATAATAATCATTTTAAAAATTTTGAAGATTTTTGGTGTGATGAAGAAGAAAAAAGGAAAGAAAAATGGAAAGAAATTTGGGAACTGAATGAAAAAAATGAAAATGATAAAGAGAAAAACAATATATATAATATGTGTGTAGAAAAAAATGAATTATGTGATAATTATAATAATGATGATGGATTTGATAAATTAAAAAATGAATTTAATTTAAAAGAAAAAAAAAATTTTCGCATTAGACTTTCTTCTCAGTTATTTGAAGATAACGAATTGAATCAATTATTTATTAATGGAAAAAAAATACGTACATCTCTTAATGAAAAAAAAGAAAAAGATAAAAAAACTTGTTTATATATAGAAAGAAAAGAAGAACAAGAAATAGAAAATTATTAGGAAAAAAAAAAAAAAAATGAAAAGAGCTAAATAAATAGAATAATTAAACCGAAAAAATGTTTCAAATAAGTATCCTTATAAAAAATACTAAAATTAACGAATAAATATATGATAAAATAAAGCCATGCTATTATAGAATTCATTCAGATTTTATTCAAATAAAAAAAAAAAAATAAATAAAATAAAATTTATGTTATTTTTGAGGGAATATCATTATAAAAAAAAAAAAAAAAATGTAAAAATGAAGAATTTTGTAATAATCAAATAAATACAATTAAAATAAAGAGTAGCTACATTATCTAATATATATATGTGTATACATATAAAAAAATGTGCACATATAAAAGAAAAAAAAAATTTTAAATATAATATAAATGAACATTTATTAAAAAAAAAAAAAAAAGTTATATATTAAATGAAAAAAAATAAAAAAGAAACATGATGAAAAATTTTATAATTTAATATTATTGTTATTACATATTTATTTTTTTTTTTTTAAAAATGAATATGCAAGGGAAGTTATCACAAATAAAAAAGTTACTAGAATTGCAAACTTTTCAAAATAATGAAACAAGAGAAAATCTAATAAAATTATTAAGGGAATTATATTTAATTTACATGTTTTATGAGACTGATAACATAAACAAAATTCTTAAAGTATGATTAAAAAAAAAAAAAAAAAAAAAGGAAATAATAATTTCTATACAATTTTACAAAAACACATATGTACATTATATAATTTATATATTTTTGAAATTATTATGCTTTATATTTAAAAAAAAAAAAAAAAAAAATAAAGAAATTCAAAACCTTAAGTTGATATATTTGTAACAAAAGTTATAATTAAAATTTATTATTTGTCAAGAAATTAAAATATAAAACATTTAATTGTCAAAAATATACATTTTACTAATATTTTCATATATTATTCATCATAATATTATATAAGTTATTAAAAATTATATTCATAATTTTTCCCTATTTTTTTATTATTTTGATTGCATTTTTATTCTATTGTTTATTATTTTTTCTTTTTTTTATGATTATGTTCATATTAAATTCAGCTTGTTCATATATATTTAATAATTATTTTTTAAAAATGGTTTATTTTTTTATTTAAAAAATTGTAGAATTTTTGTTTAATATATGTATTTATAGAAAACTTATTTGATTTTAAAAATTATAATTTTCTATTTCTATGTCTGTATACATGAATGATAATTGATTTCTTCTTTTTTTTTTTTTAATTTTTATGTTTTTCATTTATGTATATTTATTTAAGCTTATTTATTTTTTTCTCGTTTTAAATTTTAATAAGGAATTAGATATGTTATATATATATATATATAATATTAGCAAGCTTTTAAACACGTTTATTTATAAATATTTAGGTAGTGTATAAGAGATATATATATATATATATATCATTAATTATATATTTTTTTAGTATATTATTTTCTTAATTGTTTTCATTTGTACTTTTTATTATAAAAATAAGTATTTTTTTTTTTTTTTTTTTAAAAGACATTGAAATAATATGAAAAAACTTAAAATAATTAAAGAAATGAAAAAATATAAAGCTTTTACGTTTTTAAAAATAATGTAAATTTCTTATTTAATTTACCTTATATTTGTTTAAATTTTTTTTTAGTATAGAAGAGAACATAAATCTATTTTACGTTTATTGCTTGTTCATGTAGATAGTGAAAATCATATTAACAATGGAGAAAAAATTTTAATGATTAATTTATTAAAAATAATGGAAAAAAAAGTAGATAAACTTTTTTCATATTATCCAAATATATGGAAAGGATACAATTCTTCTTTTTTTTTTTATATCTCTATGCAATATGATGACAAAAATTTAATTAATACTTTTTTTTCTATTTTAACAAATTCTAAAAATTCATATAAGAATATATATATTTCCATGTTATTATTTAAGTCTAATGATTTTCTAACTAAAATAAAAACATTAAAATTTATTTTTCAAAAGTATATTTTAAGTAATGGAAATAATGAAAATAACGTTCATGAAGGAGAGGATATTTTTAATGAAAAAACGATTTTTACTAATTTTCTAACAGAACAAAATGATTCTAAAAAAATTACAGAACAAATAATGAGTTGTTTTTTCTTTTCTATAATATCTGACTTAATTAAAAATGATTATATCACTTTACTAAACGAAACGTATTAAAATAAAAAAAAATATATAGAAATAAACATAACTTATCTAGTATACTTTATATTCTGAAAAACTTTTTGTTTTTTTTTTTTTATTTAACATATATTTAATTTATTAATATATTATGAAAAATATGATACTTTTTAAAGTTGATATTTTCATTTATAATTTTATTAAATTTTTAGTTTTCATAGTAATTTTTTTTCTTAATCTTTTATTAACTGTTCCATTATTTTTTATTTATTTTTTTTTTTTTTTTTATTAGTAAAAAAGAAAATGATGAAATTATTTTGAAATGTATAAATGAAAAAGTGGGTACTGTGGAAGAAAAATCTAAAAATAATTATATAAAAAGGTTAATTTATTATTCTGTTAAAAAAAATATATTTTATAGTTATTTTAATCTAAATGAAAATAGTAATATATTGAATGAAAGTACAAATGAAAATGAAACAAACATAGACAAAAGTTTTTGGGAAGAGGAAAATAGGAAATTAAGTATCATTAAAAAAGAAAATTTATATTATGATATAGAAAAGGATAAAATTCTTTGTAATAAAATAAAAAGTCATTATAATGAGAACTTTTTGAATGGAATTTTTTTTTATATAAGAAATTTGATAAAAAATTATGAAAATTTTTGTTCATCAAAGAATAACTTGAATAAGATAGAAAAGAATTATGTTTCATGCTGTTTAATCCAGTGTGTATCTATTTTATTTAATATATGTTGCCTTAATAACAAATTTGTAAATAACTCTTATAATTTGATAAAAGATATGAAAAAAAAATTATCAGATTACATGAATTGTTCTATTATCGTTTCAATAGCTGAATTTATTTTGTTTTTTTCTTCTGATGAAGAATTTGTTAGAGTATCTAACTATTTGTTTTCGTTTTTTTCAAAAGAATATAAAAATTATTTAGCAGCTATTACCTTTTTTGATTTTATAATAAAAAACGCAAACATACTTAATGAAAGAAAATTTTTTTTTCAGAAATATTATGTTATAATATTAGAAACTTATTTTTATCATTATAGAATTTTGAAAAATGATTTAATTTATATTTTGCCATATCTAATTTATGATAATAATTATAGGGATTTTTTATGTTTCCTTTTAGACGCACCTCTCTTGATTAATAACGAAAACATTGTAAAAAGAAAAAAAAAAAAAAAAAAAAAGGAATTATAAATTGCATATTATATGAATTCACATTTTAAAAATATAAATGAATTTTTTTCATTATGAATTTATCATATAATAGGCAAAAGTAAGGGACGTTAACACATATAATAAGGGAAAAGATAAAGATTTTCAAACTGCAAAAAATTATAAAACAACCCATAATGAAGGTCTTATTACATACTATATATATATATATATGTGTGTAACAACTGAAAATATTTTAATTTTTTTTTTTTTTTTTTTTTTTTTTTTTTTAAATGCATTTATTCAGGAATAATATCTTATATACATTTTTATATTTTTATCTTATAGATGGCTTAATTTCTTTGAATTACAATAATGATCATCATCAAATTATTAAGTATGTTGTTTTTACTTTCTATTATAAATTAATTTTTATATTTTTTCTTTCATTTTTTTAAATATATTGAAAACTTTATAGACACACAAAAAATAAAAGGAGAGCAATAGATGTAAAGGAGAATATGCATAAGTATTTTAAAATTTATTTTGAAACGATTTTTTTAAGAAATAATGAAGTATGGATATTGGAAATAACTAAAATTTTATTACATAAATTAAGTGATATAGAAGTACTTGAAATGATAAATAAGGAAAGTTTAAAAGAAATATTTAGAAATATAAATAACATAATTAATAACAATTCAAGAATATTATTGATTTTTAAAAATGAATTTATAAATTTGTTAAAAAAAAATTCAGATAATTATTTTTTAATAAAGAGAAAAATATTAGATATAATTGGACATAATATAGAACATATGAACATTACTTACGATAAAATTGAAGATTATTATATAACTTTAAATTCTTTTTTTTCAAATAATAATTTTAAAGAATTAAAATATTGGATATCTTTAATTCATGCTTTCACTAATATTGCACTATATTGTCATGATTTAGCTAATAATATTTTAAATACATATAAAAATTTTATTTCTCAAAATAACGTTACATTAATACTAAAATATATAGTTATGGAAAATATAAATATTATAGAAAATAAATCGTATGCTAAGAATATAAATTTTACAAAATAAAATTATATGAATTTCAGTTAATTCGTGTTCTACTATTCCCTTTTAATATTATAATAAAAAAAAAATATATAATAATTGTACTAATATACACGAACTAAAAATATATATTGCTTTTTTTAATTTTTAATTTTTTTTTTAATTATTTTTGTTTATTAAAAAATATATATTTGTAAATAATTAAGAAATATGAAATAATATATAGGTAACATTTATATTGGCAAATATCCAAATTTATAACATTCATTATAAAATATATTTTTTTATTATATTTTAAAGTATTTTGTTTAGAGAAAACTCATTAAAAAATGCAATAATGTATATATAAATATATATTCTAGATAAACAAATTAAAAAAGGTAAAAAAATAAGATAATAAAGTTATAGGATACAATACTGAACCAAAGGTAGGATAAAATATATAAATATTTATAAAAAAATAAAAAGTAATAATATTTTTTACTACATTATGTATAATTATACATGTAAGAGACTTGAGATAAAAAAAATACTTTTTTTTTTTTAATAAAGTTAACTATTTACTGAAGGATTAACATTAAGTGAAGAGGGTTGTGTGTTTGTATTTAAATTATTAATTTGCTGTTCTCTTTTAATTTGTATATAATTCTTACATAAATCTATTTCATTTTTTTTTTCAATTAATGTTACTTTTAATTTTTTTATTTGTTCGTTTAATCTTTTTACTTTATCATTAAAATACTCAATTGTTTGTTCAGAATTTCTTTGAACGTAATAATTTGTTCCCATACGTATTAAAAAATTTTCAGTATCAACAATTTTTCCTTAAAAAAAGAAATAAGAAAAACAAAAAAAAAAATAGGTGAAAATAGAATATTACCATAGTAAAAATTTAATTTTTAGATATTCTTATGAATTTTTTTTTATTTTATTTTACCTGGAATATAAACTAAAGATGTCAAAGGTATATGAACATCTAAAGTTTGTTGCTTTTTTTCTTTCTCTTTCTCCTTCTCGTTCTCCTTCTCGTTCTCCTTCTCTTTCTCCTCCTTCTCTTTTTCTATTTCTTTTTCTTCTTCTTTATTGCTTATTTTAATTTTGTCAATTAAATTATCTATATTTTCTAATTTATTTTTTTCTTGAGAATCTTTTATATCTACACTTTTATTTTTATCATCTGGTTCTTTACCACATAATTTAATTAGCTCTGAGCGTTCTAATTCATTCATGAATATATTAAAATTTTTTGCCTCATATTTAGAAGGGTTTAATTGTTCTACACAATTCTTACATTTATCATAAGTTACTACAGCACTTTCTAAAATAGTATAATTTTTTTTTATCAACTTCCATTCCTATGAAGAGAAAAATATATCATAATGAAGTAAATAGAATTAAAATAAAGATTTTTTTTTTATTTTTTTTCATTTTTTTTCATTAGTAAAACCTCTTCTAATTTTAAAGTTAAAGATACTAATTCTTCCAGACCTAATGTATTTAATTGAATTACGACATTTGGTTTTTCTCTTTCATTTTCTTCAATCTTCTCTAAATCGCAAGCCATGGTTGCATATAAAAAATAAACTAAAACAAAAATAGAAAAAAAACAAGATACTGAAAAAGCTCATCAAACTGTCTAAAGAATATATATATGTATATATGAAGTATTATATTTTATTAATTTTAAAAGTATTTTAAGTATTAAAGAAAATATACTGTGATAATATTTACAGTATATGTATTTATGTTTTAAAAGCTTTTTAAATTTTAAAACATTTATTTTTATAATATATATTTACATCTTTATAAAAGTAATAAAAAAATATATTAAATAACAAAAGCTTTATATTTGTTTTATTTTATTTTTTATTATTGAATAGAAAAAAATATAAGAAAAAAAAAAAAAAAAATAAACTGTTATTTAAATAAAATTATTAACAATATTTCTTTTTTTTTTTAATAATAGATATCATAAATTAGTAAGTGTAATAAATATATATATAAATATGTATATAATGACAAAACTGTTTTAAAAAAAGTTATGAAAAAAAAAAAAAAAAATAAATAAAATTAAGAAAAAAATACGAGTAAATTATTTTTGTAATATTTCATTTGTTTTTTTTTAATTTATTTTTTTTTTATTTTCTTTTTCTTAATAAAATTACTTAAAAATTAAAATAAAGATTTATAATATATTTAAATGTTTGTTTATTTCTATGAATGAAATTTTTAGCGAATAAATTTTTATTTATATTTCTTATTTTTTTAATATTTGGATTTTTTTAAATTATATATAATTTTTTTTTTTCCTTTTTAACCTTTTCATATATACAATTATTCTTTTAAAAATAATTCAATGGATCATCAAGACATTAAACCTGTTATATGGCATAAAACTGAGAAAAAAACAAAACCAAAAAATATTGAAGAAGCCCGAAAGTTAGGTATTGACGTAGAAATTGAAAAAAAGTATTTTGGTGGAAAAAACAAATCAAGTAAAGGAAATTTAATAATAGAAAATAAAGCAAAAATTGAACAGGAAAATGAAAATTTTAAGATTGATCGTGTTACACCAACATTTTCAAGAGCTTTGCAACAAGCCAGAATGAATAAAAAATTAACACAAGCTCAATTAGCTAGATTAATTAATGAAAGTGAAACTGTAATAAAAGAATATGAAAATGGAAAAGCAATACCAAATAATGTTATTATTCAAAAATTAAATAAAGTTCTAGGTGTTAATTTACCATCACCAAAAAAAAAATAAAATTTAAAAGAATAGAGAGAAAAAAAAAAAAAAAAATATAAATGATATAAAAATTCATTAGAATAATATTCTTTATTTACTTTTTGTGTCTATTTTAAAATAGTTCAAATCATATATATAAATATATATATATATATATACGAATTAAATAATTTTTATAAAAATACATTATAATATTAAATGTGGTATGATGTTGAGAAAGCTTTACATTTTTAAATAATAATATTTATATTATTATAATGGTTATAAAATAATATATTAATATAAAACTATTTATTTAATTACCAAAAAAAAAAAAAAAAAAAAAAAAAAAAAAAAAACTAGCATATTTGAGTAATTTTAATTATCCAGCTTTTACTATAATTATTAAATATCATGTTCTTTTTTAATTTTTTTTTTATACGTGATTTTTTTTTTTTTTTTTTTTACGATTTTTATATTACATATTTATTTTATATATTTATATTTTAAAATTAATAAAATTTTTTACTTAAAAAAAAAAAAAAAAAATAAAAGGAAATATGAATTAATAATACTCTCTCTATAACGAAGTGAAAATTTTCTTTCTTTTTTTTTTTTTTTTTTTTTTTTTTTTTTTTTTTTNTTTTTTTTTTTTTTTTTTTTTTTTTTTTTCTCTTTTTTTTTTTGTAATTTTAAATGTAAATAAAAATTGTATAAAAAAAAAATAATTTATTATTATGTAAATATTCTTTTTTTTTTTTTAAAACATATGTGAACATCCAATGCTGTCTGGATTTATGCTATGTTGTACTGGTCCTACATAAATGTAACTGTCACTATATGCCCACTTATAAAAAGAAAAATAAAAAAGTAATAAATGTACATATAAGTATATATTTATATATTTTTTAATTTGTTTTTTTGTTTACTGTATTCGCATTATGCTTAATAGTAGCCATTAAACTTGATTTCACTGATATAGGAACAGGTGCAACATAAGGATACTGTTAAAAAAAAAAAAAAAAAATTCAAAAAATAAAATTAAAATATATATAATTTAACACAAAAGAAAAAAAAAAAAAAAAAAACTTTAAATGCTAAGATTAATGATAAAACAAATGAAAAATAAAATGGATATAGAAAAAAAAATTGTGAATATTAAAATTAGGAATAACATAAAGAAAGAAACTAAAAACTGAAAATAATAATTCTTTCTTCTTTATTTCATACTTTATTAAAATATCCATTGCTGTCTTTGTTATTTATAAAGTAAAAACCTGGATATAGTGAACTACTCCAGTTGCTTTTATTTAAATTTAAATGCCTAATTGACGTAACATAATTAACTAGATCATTTTCAACAGCTATACCTGCTAGCAAACCATGAGAAAATGCTAATGAATTATCAAAATGAGTTGGGAAGTAACAGTTGATTTCTGTATCAATATTTTTAATTATTGTTTGAAAATGTAATATATAATCTATATCACTATATACTTTTATGTTTTTTATTGTTATTTGACTCGATACTGTATTCATATGCTTTTTATAACAATAGAGTTCATTATTTTCTTTTGATTTTTTCATTAATTCTTTTATATATTTTTTTATTCCATTTATTAGCATTAATTCAAAGTTTGAATCTATATCTTCATTTTCTCTTTTTTCTTTTTTTAATAACTTATCTTTAACTGAATGAGTACATATTTTGAGTAATTCCATACTTTCTTTTTTTAAAATTTTTTCATACCTAAAAACATATTATATATATATATATAAATTTATTTATTTGAGGTTTTAGATTATGTAAATAAATATGTAGCATATAAAATTTTATTTATAAGAATTTATATCTACAAGTATACATAAAACATAAAAATTTTTTTTTTTTTTATTCCTGTAATTATGTTTTATATAATTTTTTATAAATTTTTTTTTAATGGTAATTACTTTTCTGGTATTACAACATTATTTATAAGTTCATCTAATTCTTCTATATTTTTTATTTTATCATCAACATCTTTGCATAATTCATAAAAATCATTAATGCAATAAATTAAATTAGAACTGAATAGTATTACACCGTAATATTTCATTCTATTAATTCTTTCTATAATAATTAAAGACATATTTTCTATTATTGTACTTAAGTTAGTTAATTGATTTGCTACACATTCACCAATATAGCATATATTACAATGAGTTTCTAATTGAATTGATAAAATCAAGGAAGACGAAATATTAGTATGAACCTTTATAAAATAATAATATTTATTTAAGTTTAAGCAGTTACTTTGTAAATTACTTACAATATGACTAATATTACAAATCATTGAATGGTATCCAATACTACATTCGATCAGATTTTTATCAAAACTGTTATATAAGGAAATAGGGACAGTTATAATTTTTATATTTACTTTTTTATTTATAAAAATATCATTTAGTATATTCATAATTGATATTACCTTTTCATCACCTATGAAAACTAAGTTTGTAATGCTATTTTTTCTACAATTTTCAATTATTTTTTGAACATATTCTTCTTTTATCAAATCATATATATATAATTTTTCAGTATCATTTTTATTATATTCTAAATTAACTCCTAATAGTGGAAATCCACCCAAATTTGTTGAATTCTTTAAATTATTATCATTAATTATGCATATATCATTATTTAATAGTCCTCTCAAACCTCTAATAAATCCAATTAACTTAAAATTATTAATAGACAACCGCTGATGTAAACCAACTAATATATTATTACTACCAGGTGTACAATGAGAAAGTAATACAACTCCAATGTTTCTAGAATATGTTGATATTCTCAGATTTTGTTTTAAATTCAAAGAATTTTCTTGTATCATATAAAATTCTTTAATTTTATTAATATGAAGAAAAGAATTATAATTTAACTTATTTTCAAAACCGTTGTTAATGTATGTAATTCTTGTATTATGTCTTACTAAGGTAGTGTTAAATTTTATTACAGATTTAATTAATGTTCTCTCAATTTCAGATAAATTATTAGAACTTCTGTAATAATTGCAAATAAAGTTATTTTTATTTTCATTTTTATTTTCATCTAACTCCAAATATTCATTTTTTAACCCAGATATAGTAAAATTTATTTGATTAAATACATTATTTTGTTTCATATTTAAATTCACACAATCATTAATAAAAAAACCATTTATTTTTTTAGGAGAATATAATGAATCGTTATATTCTATAGGAAAGTTATTTTCGTATTGAATTCCGCATAATATTCTATAATTGTCTTCATATAAATAATGAGAACGATATTTTTTATATTTTAAAAAATAATTATTATATAAATCTACTTTTCTCCTTTTTATAGAAAATTCATCTTTATTTTCTTTATCTTTATTGTTTTTAATGGACATTAAACTGCATATTGGTACTCCAAATATTTGTATATTATTCACATTATATAATAAATCTTTCAAATTTTTAATTACACAAATATAACCGTTATACTTTTTTTCTATTATTTCAACACAGCTAAATCCTAAAATATAACTATAAGCACAATCAAAATTTGTAGGTAAGGAGCAAGTAATTTCATTTCCATAAGAGTGAGAAATAAATTCTAAATCATTCATTTCTTTTTCTTCTTCTATCTTTTTTTTAACAAAATAAAGTAATAATTTTTCTACATTTAAGCGGGAGTACTAATATATATAAAAAAAAAAAAAAAAAAAAAAAAAGGAAATTTTAAATTTTAATAATTTTAATGAAAAATACAACAATATAAATTACATATATATATAATCTTATTTTAAAAATAATAATTATATTCATAGCTATAGCTTAAATGTATATAAATATCATGATTATTTATATTATATATTTCTATTTATTTTTACCAACATATATTTATAATTAATACATATAATTGAAAAAATATTAAATTTTCAATAGTAAAAAAGTTAAAAATAATTAATTTACTTGAAAATTATTATTAGAAAGAGCTTCCATTAGTAGTTGATTTTGAAAAAATTGAGGGAATGAAAGAAATAATTCATAATGTTCTTTAATTAGATAATTACTTAGAATATTCTTAACTTCATGTAAGTTATTTATATTATTTTTTATGTGGTCTTTCTTAATTTGTGTGATAGAATTTACTAACATTTTGAATTCTATAACCTTTTTAAGAATTCCTTCAGGTATTATTATTATACCATATTTCTTATTATAATCTTTATACCTTTTCTTTATAACATCAGTTATAAAATTAATAATATCTTTTAACGTTATTCTTTTATTTTTTATTTCTTCACTTATTAAGACTATATTAGCTCTTGTTTGTAAGAAACATTCTAATGCAATATGACTTGAGGAGTTTCCAATGATTTTTACAAAATGATATCCTTTTAAATATGTTTGCATGTGTGACATCAAGTAGCTTATATATTGACAGTAGCTAAATACTGTAGTATCAAAACCTAATGAACATTCAATATATTCATTTTTCAATTCGTTATATACAGTTTTCGGTGCACTTATTATTGCAGTTTTAATAAGTTTTTTCTTTTGTTTAGGGAATTTCTTTTTTATCTCTTCATCACTTAAATCACTTATAATTTCGTATGTTATATCTTCTCTTTCAATATCTTCTTTTTCATTATCTTGATGATTAAATATTCCATTTTGATAATCCCCTTTATTTGTATCGTTAGATAATTTCTCTGTTTTCATTTTGTCTATTTGCTTCATCTTTTCATCGGATAATTTGTAAATATTTTCAAAATATTCTGCTAATAAAGCAATTTTACTATTACTGTCAACTCCTCCAACAATGATTAACCCATTTAAATTTAAATGTCTACATATTTTAAAACATTTTTTTTTATCGATTTCATCAGTTATATTCAATATGCTACTTTTTATCATATCAAAACCACCAATATTTCTGAACATACTTATATATTCATTTTTTAATTCCATTAAGTTATATGTTTTTAAACCTTCAAAACCATTTAAAAATCCATATAAAATATTTTTTTTATTTTTCTTTTTTAAATTATCCAAAACACCACAAATTATATTATGCCCACCTGGTGCTTGAATTCCTGTTAATAAAATTCCTACTTTCAAAATATCATCGCATTTATATATGTCTATCATTTCTTTAAGAAAAGAATTCCCAGTATAGTTACAAGTAGAGATTTCTGTTGATATTTTTGTTGAATATGTTTCATTTAATATTTTTCTGGTACTACTGTTTAAAGAACAATTTTCAGAACTCAATTTAATTATTGGTTTTTCAATTGTATTTGGAAAATTTTTTTTTAGTAATTCTTTTTCTTTTTCCTCTATTAGATTATTTTCTTCTTCTTTTATAATAATTTTATTTTTCAATATTCCAGGTAAAGTTATTCTATGCTTTCTTCTTTCTTCTTGCAATTCACTTAAATGTTTTTTTGCATTTTCTATATCCATTATTTGGAAGTATTTATATAGTAAAAATCATAAAATAATAAAAATAAAACAGTATATATAGTGATAGTTGTAAGAATACTTTATATTAGAATCCTTAAAATATCTAAAAAAAGGTTATAAAAAAGAAAGAAATTAAAAAAAAAGGTAAATATTTAAAAAGTCCATATATGATATTATTAAAATATTATAGAAAATACCAATTTTACACTTAAAAAAATTATTGGTTAAAACGAAAAATAATTAAAATTTAAAATAAAAAATGAATAAATTACAATGTGCAAAATAAATTATATTTAATTACTCTATTAAATAAAAGTTTTACTTAAATCTATATCTAGGTATAAATTATGAATAGAAACAAAAAAAAAAAAACAAAAAATAAAATAAATAAATAAAAGAATAAATATAATAGATAGAATTATTAGATTTATGAAAAGAAAATAATTATATTTGTAATTCTGTTAAATCTGGAAGGATAAAAAAAAAAAAAAAAAGGCACATGTAATTATAATTTTATTAAAATTGTAAGAGTATAGATATATATATTTATATATATCGTTTTATTATATTATTAAATATGTGAATAAATAATTAAAATATCATAATATGAAGTATATTTCAAAATAAAACAAAGCAAAATATAATAAATATTTATTCCTTGCATTGTTATTAATGTAATACACAGAATTAAACTATTGATAATAGATGTATAAAAGTAAATGAACTTGACTTGTTTAGCTTTTGTATATTTTAAAATTTTAAATTTAGAAATAATGAATATAAAAATAAAAAATAAGATTGTTTACAAAGCACATATAATAATATATATTGGATATATAAAATATAAAAATATAAAATATGTGAAAAGATGAAAAATAAGGAATAAACAATAAAAAAAACAATAAGTTTTTCGATTTTAATATTTTAATTTATTAGCAATTTACTACTCTTTTATCAAAAAATAAGTAGTTTCAAAAAAAAAAAAAAAAATATATATATATATGACCATATATATTCCTTTGTTAATATAATTATTGATAAAATATATTGTAATAATATGTAGAATAACTTAACATTAGTATAGATATATAAGATAATATTCCTAAAATCGAAAGAAAAATTGTCTATAACATATTTTTACAAAAACTACTATTCATATTTTAAGGTAAATATAATTAAATGAAAAAGTTCGTTTAAGAAAGAATTATCTTATAACCTATTTTTAAAATACTTATTTATAAGTTTAACATCTTCAAAAAAAAAAAAAAAAAAAAAAAAAACTAAAAATTATACATTATATTTTGTAGCATACAAAAAAATTCAAGTTATATTTCAATAAATGAATATAAAATATATATATATATTTTGAATAATTCAATGATGTTATAAGAAAATAAAAAAAATAAAGAATTTTATGATTAGTATAGAAAAAATAAAAATATTTTATTTAATGGCTATTTTATATTCAATATATTTTAATGTATATACAATAAAAATCAGTCATATTATTTTTTGTAGTAGTTATAAAAAAAAAAAAAAAAAAAAAAAAAAAAAATAAATTAACGGTAGCTGTTATGCACCAGTAAATAATATTTCCATCAAATATTTCAAGACATATTCTATACCTATAAATAATTATGCAAAAAAAATAAAATAAAAATAAAATAAATAAAATTAATATCAATTTTTATTTAAAACTTAAACATGATTTACCTTCATGGTGTATGTTGTTTATAGCTCTAAAAAAAAAAAAAAAAAAAAAGTATACAATAAGTAAAAAGATAAATTAATATATATAATAAATATGTATATATATACAAAGAATTACAAAATTAATAATAAATATATAAATTTTTTTTTTTTTTTTTTGTATATTTTACATCAATATTTTTTCCTTTTGTTCTTTTTCATATTCCTTATAATAATACTTAATATTATATTGTTCGTATAAATTATCAATAATTTTTACGCATGCTATATTACTTTTTCCATAATTCTTAATTATTTTAGTTTTGTCTTCTTCAGTACATAATTCGAACGTCTGAAATACAGAATATCAGATTTAAAAAATTTATATATAAAAATAAATAATGAAGTAATATATTCTTAGTTTTTAAATACTTTTATTAATGGCCAAGTTAATTTATTGTTTTGTATATCCGATCCAACTTTTCCTGTTTTTTTAGTATCACCAAATGCATCTAAATAGTCATCATGAACCTAAAGGATAAAAAAAAAAAACATTTAATTAGTTAAAAAATAAAGAATTTAAAAATATAAAAAAATAAAATAATTTCAAGAAATTTTAAAATGTACATACTTGAAAATATTCTCCCATTAAAATAGAAATATCTTCAATCTTTTTGTATATTAAATTATCAATTGATATTCCTGCTAATTGCATTCCTAAAAAAAAAAAAAAATATTTTTTTAAAAAAAGTAAAAATATAGTTAAACAAAAAAAGAAGATTCAATAAAAATAACAAATTTTTCAAAATTAAAAAGAAATCTAATATAAAAAGATAAAGACAGAAAAAAATAAATTATAAAAACATATATATATTTTTATATATAATTGATACAAACTAACCACAAACAATAGGTAAGAAAAAGGAGTAATAGGCAGTTTTATGAATAACTATATTTTTATAAACCTTAAAATTAACCATATTAACATTAATTTTTGATTGTTCTCGTATGTCAATATCATTAATATCAATATTTTTATTTATATCAGAATATTTTTCAGAAAATATATTGGTATCCAAATGTTGACCAATTATTGTCTTTAAGGTTGCATCTCTAAAAGAATTAATAATATCGACATAACAACTTTCATTTCGTATATATATTTCAATTAATCTAACAGAAAAAAGAAAAAAAAAAAAAAAAAAAAGTATGGGATAAAAAAAAAAAAATAACTTATTTTGTTATATTTTGTTTTTATTTTTTTTCTAAATAACTTATATATAGCATTGTATAAAAATAGAACATCATTTACAGCATTTTTTGTTTCTACATCTTTTAATAAATACCTTTTGAAAAAAAAAAAAAAAAAAAGACAAAAATTAAAATATATATATATATATATATTTACTTTTACTAAATTATATTAAAATTGAATTATACCAACAAAATTTATTTCTTCTAGTTTCTCCTTTATCCATTATATCGTCAGCTACTAAAAATGATGCTTGCAAAATTTCTATACACCAAGCTAAAAAAGAAATAATATATAATATATAATAATATAATATATAATTTTTTTTATTAATATAATTTTTATGATTTTCATTCATTATAGCTTGTTGTATCTCTCTTAAAATAAAAACCTAAGCAGGCTGCTTTCTCCCATTCAGAACTGTTAATGTCTCTATTTTTTACATATTCATAAATTAATATTACTAGAATACCTCTATTATTTTTTCCACCTGTTAAAACATAAAAAAAAAAAAAAAAATACATTTTTGTTAATAATTTTGTTATATTTTCTTTTTTTTATTTTAAATTATCTTTTGAATCATTCAAACATTTATAATATTTCATCATAAGATTTAACACACTTTTTTTTTTTTTTTTTTTTTTTTAAACAAATATAATATTCCATCTATTTTAATTCTTTATTATACCTAAACAATTATAATCAAATAAAAGTTTATAATATTTTGAAATAATATGTTTTATATCATCCTCTAATGTGTAATCATTAATATAGCTCAAAACGGAATCCCTATATTTGTCATACATCTATATAAAAGGAAAAAAAAAATTAAAATTAATATTTCAAACTTCTTATATCTAATATATTCCATTATTACACTTCTAAAAAAAGCTAGCCCACTGTCCGAATCCTCATTTTTTGATTCTTTTTCCATTTTTTTTTTTTTTTTTTTTTTTTCCCTTTAAATTAGTAAATAATTTAGAATAGTTAATTTTATTTGTATTTTTATATAAGAGAAAACATAAATTTTAAAGTTGTATAATACTCCTTATTTATTTTACTTGAATAAAAAAAAAATATTTTTTTTTTTTAGGTTAAACTTTGTAAAAAAAAAAAAAAAATTATTATATATAATTCTATACGTTCAAGGATAAAATAAAAAAAAATACTTTCATGGTATAAATATTTATTTAGGTTAATATATGCATGTTCTTTAGAAAAATATACACTTTTTATAGAACAAAGAGAGAATAATTTCTATATTAAAATATTGGTGTATATATTATTAAAAAAAATATACTTATTAATATATTATTAATATAAAATAAAGCGAAACTTTTATTAGTCATATAAGAAAAAAAAAAAAAAAAAAAAAATTAAAATGAAATAAATCTTTTTTTCTTGTAAATAATTTTGATCTATGCTCATAAAATAACATTTCACATATTTATTTAAATTAAAAAAAAAAAAAAAAAATAAATATAAAAGATAAACAAAAATTTCTATGTATATATATTTAGTTATTTTAAATATTTAAGAAAAAATGAGAAGAAAGAAAAAAAAAAATCCTATAAAAAAGTATAAGTAGAAAAATAATATTTTTATATGTATTTATATGGATTTATTAATTTTGGCAGTGAGTACATTGATGTAAAAAAGTAAAAATATAATTTTATATAATGTATAAAATTGGTATAAAAATTATTAAAGCATATATTTATGTAATGAAATCATAGATATAAGAAATAAAATATGCTAGATAAATATATATAACTTAATAAACCAAAGGAGGAAATATAAAAAACAAAAAAAAAATTGATGTATTTTATTTTGAAAATTCCTTATTTTTTAAAGGATGGACAGTGATATAATTGATGAAGAATTTATATATGGAAAAAATATAGAAAAAATAAAAAAAAAAAAAGAATTAATTTTAGACTGTTTAAAATCTGTAGTTGACCCAGATTTAAAAAAAAATATAGTAGAATTAAATTTTATTCGTAATCTAAAAATTCATGAAAATGATAGTAAAAAATATTTAGTGAATTTTGATTTAAATTTAACAACCCCTGCTTGTCCAGTTAAAGATGATTTAGTCTCAGAATGCAAAAAAAAACTTGGTATATATGAATGGATAGAAGAAATAAACATTAATACAACATTTATAAATTTTAATGACAAAAAAAAAAAAACCAATAAAATTGAAAATATTATATTAGTATATAGTTGTAAAGGAGGAGTAGGAAAATCTTTTTTTTCAGTTAATTTTTCTTACTATTTAAAAAAAAAGGGAGCATCGGTTGGACTTTTAGATGCTGATATTAATGGACCAAGTTTACCCACATTATTGCCATTTGAATATACATATGCTAAATTTAAAAGAATTGAAAAAAAAAAAAAAAAAAGTAATAAAATTTTTTATGAAAAGGAAAAAAAAAACAAAAAAGATTCTTCCGATATTATTAAAAAAGAGAGCTTAGGAGACTTATATTTTTTTGATACAAATTTAAATGAAGAAATTGATTTAGAACAAGAAAAAGAAGAATCAAGAAAAAAAATAAAGGAACAAAATAATAATAAAGAAACTTATAAATACATAGATAATAAAAGTAAAATGAAAAATGGCAGAAATAATCTTATGTATCATGATGATAATATTATAAATAATGGTATACATAGAAATGATTATGACTCCTATGATGAAGAAAATAAAGATAATATTAATGAGAAAGATGATATTGAAGATAGCTCATCTATAATTGAACCATTAATGTATAATGGTGTTAAATTAATGTCGTATGCATATATAAAGAACAAAAGCAATTTAGGATTTGCCTCATTTAGAGGTCCCATATTAAATGAGTTAATAAAAGAATTTTTAAATAATGTAGATTGGGGTATCTTAGATTATTTAATCATTGATATGCCACCAGGAACAAATGATATACATTTAAATTTATTTGAATCTGAAAAAATTGATGGTATAATTATGATAAGTACGCCAAATGATTTATCAATTAATGATGTAGAAAAAGGATTAAACATGTGTAATTATTTTAATATCCCCATTGTTAGTTTAATTATAAATATGAATTATTTTGTATGTGATAATTGTGATAAGAAACATTATATTTTTAATAATGGTAATATTGAATCTCTGAAAAAGAAAATTAATAATATATATGAAATTCCTTTTCATTCTTTATTATCTAAAAATGTTTATTATAATAACCATGATAATCAAAAAAAGTTCCCATTTATTTTAGCCTATGAAAACCACTTTTTAATTGATAAATTAGAATATATTTTTCAAAGTATTATAAGAGAAATTTCTATTTTAAAATATAACCATACATTAAATTTACCATCTTTGCAGATTTACAATAAAAATTATATTCAATTATGTTTCGATACTATGGAAAATAAGTATGTTTTTTCAGAAGACGTATTAATATGTCATATTAAAGTTGTAAGATTAAAATGTAAATGTGATATATGTAACTTAAAAAAAAAAAATAACAAAAAGATTGTATTAGATTATAATTTATACATAAAAGAAATAATAAAATTAGGTATTTATAATGTTAAAATTATTTGGTCCGATAATCATGTTTCTATATATTCATATGCTTATTTAAAACATATTTTTCAAAAAAAAAGATTAAATAACAGTAGTATATATTGTCAATCTAACAATAATAAAAATTATGAATGGTAACAAATACATTATATATATATTTATTTATTTATTTATTTTTTTTTTTTTTATTTTTTTTTTTTTGTGTGTGTTTATATTTTAATACATTTGTTTTGTTTTCTTTTTATAAATATTTTTATTTATAAAAAATATGAGAAACATATTATTTATTTTAATTATATATACATTATTATCATATAATACTATTTTTTTTAAGAGAATTTTTTCTTCATTATTTATAGCTTTTTTTTATAAGTTTTTTTTAAAACTATTTATTCTGTTTGTCATTTTATATATATATTAATTATTTTTAATTAAATATTTTTGAAGCATAAAATTAAAAGAAAAATAAATATACAAAAAATATTCAAAATTTGTTATATAGTTTAAAAAGTTTATAAAAAGAAATAAAATCATTTATTTTTATTTTATTTTTGTTTCCACTAAAAAGAATAATAAATAATATGGAAAAAAAATAAAAAAATATTTGTATATATCTACGTAAGTACAATATATTTTTATGTATTCAACATCTGTTAAAATTTTTTTTTTAATATACAAATAATAAGATAAAAATATTGTTATTTTATGTAAATATAATTTTTGAATATACAACATGAATTATATAAATAAATACATAACATGTAATTAAATCAGAGAGGGAAATAGTCATAATAAATAAAAATATAAAAAAATAATCAAGTATAAAAAAGGTGAGAAATTATGTAACAATTATAAGTATACAAAACTATTTATATTAAACAAATAGTGTAAATAAGTTTGATTTATATTTGTTCTATTTTTCCTTCATTAGTTACTTTTTTTTTTTTTTTTTTTTTTTTGTGTGTGTGTGTTTATGTAATGTGCATATGTACATGTGATTTTCCATAATTATAATAAATTAGTATAGATATTTAATTTTTTATTTCATTATAAGAGTTACTTGAAATTTTGTTGCTTATTTTATTATTGTTTATGTTTGATTCAATATTTTTGTTATTATTTGATTGGTTAATGTTATAATAAGATTGTAATTTAATTATATGTTCAATACATTTAGTAACATCTTCTACATTCATTATATCTCCTATATTCAAAAAATCATCATATGTTTTCTTTGACCATGTAAGTGGATCAAAATATACCCATGATGAACATTTTTCTAAGTTCGTATAATTAGAGGAATTATTAGGTGTAAACCATTTTTTATAAATAATATGATATAACCATTTTCTTATGTAAAGTTCTGAAGCTGCATAAGCTTGTAGTACATCTCTTGGTAAATTATAAAAAATATAAAATAATGTTTCCGTTTGTAATTTTAACAATAAAGATAAACGGATTTGGAATTGAGTATTTAAATAGGAATTTGGTTTTATGAAATAATCGTCTTTATTAGTGGGATCATCAGATAAAGGTGATGAAAAAGATGAAAAAAGAAAATCAGGAGAATTTAAATTTAATCCTAAAGTTGTTAAATCTGTTCCTAAAGCTAATATATTTAAATGAGGATCTGTCATTTTAATAACCTTTAATATTCCTAATAGTCCATAATTATTTCTATTATACCTTTTTGATCTTTCTGTTGTCTCATATAATATTTCTTCTAATGTTAAATTTTCTTCACCCTTTTTATCATCTATTTCTTTATTATTATTTATTTTATTTTTCTCAGTTATTTCTTCTTTATTATATATTTCTTCATTATCTATTTCTCTTTTATTAGTTTCTTCTTTATTCAACTGTTCTTTAGGTATCATTTTTTCTTTATTTTCATCCTCTTCATTATTCATTTCTTTTTCATCTTGTTTTTTTTTAATTATCTCTTCTTTTTCATTTTTTCTTTTACTTATTTCCTCTTTTGTACTTTTCTTGTTAAAAAATTCTTCTCTGTTTGTTTCTTTTTCTTTTCCTTTCTTATTATGAATATCTTCCTTATTCATTTCTTTTTCTATATTTTTTTTTTTATTTGCTTCTTTAACTTTTTTTGCGTTATTTATAATATTATTTTCTTTATCTTTATTTTTCTTATTTTCCATATTGATATATAATTTATTAACATTATTATTATTATCATTATCGTTATCATTACCATTATTATTATTAATATTATTACTATTACTATTATTCACATTATTATTATTATTATTATTATCATTATTGTCATTATCATTATTATTATTATTATTATCATTATTATTATTATTATTATCATTATTATTATTATTATTATTATTATTATTATTATTATTATTAGTAGTAGTAGTAGTAGTAGTAGTAGTATTATTAGTATTATTATTATTAGTATTAGTATTATTGTTAGTATTATTAGTATTAGTATTAGTATTATTATTAGTATTATTAGTATTATTATTATTAGTATTATTATTATTAGTATTATTAGTATTATTATTATTGGTAGTAGTACTAGTAGTAGAAGTAATAGTAGTAGTATTAGTATTATTAGGATTATTATTACTATCATTAATATTATTATTATCACTATTACTATTATTATTATTAATATTAATACTATTATTATTAGTATTATTATTATTATTATTATTATTAGCATTATTATCACTATTATAATAGTGATTTAAGGTTTTTACTATCGTGAATTTATTGTTTTCTAAAGAATTTTTTTCATCTGTAGAACTAAAATCATTGTTATTTATGTTTGTTAAATTTATCTTAGATTTGATAATGGTATCATTTGTTTTTACAATCTTCTTATTCTTTTTATATTTTAAGTTATCTACATTAGTTTCATTATTAAGAATTACTTCATTTTTAGTATCATTTTTAGTTTTGTCAATATTTTTGTTACTATCTAATTTTATATATTTTTTTGATTCTATTTTTCCTATTTTATTATCATCATTATATAGGATGTTTTCAGTTTCATAATTTACCTTATTGTTATTAATTGAATTATCATAATTTAAAATGTCATTATCTGCATTATTGTTATAGTTATTATCATAACATGAATTATTTTTGATATGATCTTTTATAATATGATCTCCATTTTTGTTTTTTGTATTATTATTTTCTTTATTCTTGTCTTCGTTATCTTCTTTACTTTTATCTTCTGATAGATATGCTTTATTTTTATAGTTTATATTTTTATCCTCATCACCTTCATTATTACTATCCAAATCACTAACATCTTTTAGTTTAAATTCTGTAATTTTATTTTCTTTTATATTTATTTCTTCTTTTTTATTAATTTTATTTTTTTCATTTTTCTTCTTTTCTTTGTTTGATTTCTTATCTTTTTTATCATGCAATTCACTCAATATATCCTCTTTCATATTTGATAGTATTAAATTATTGTTTACTAAATTTGTGTTATGAGAATCCGAATATTCCACTTTATCTGAATACAAGTTGAAAGTCGAACTATTATTTGAACAATTTTCTACCTTATTTTCATAAATCAATTCATCATTGTCTGTTATATTTTTTTTAGTGTTATTTTCGTTTAATAAATCTGAGAACTGTTCATTAGTTTCACTATTTATATTATCAATATCGTTATCTTCACTTTTGCTATTCCCACCTAAATTTTTTTTTTTTTTTTTATATGTTAATTTTAAGGAATTTTTGCTTTTTTCTCTTTTTTTTTCTTTATTCCCTCTACCCATAATTCTTATATTTTATTTATATAATTTATATAAAATACTCTTCACAAGTAAGATATGAAAAATAAAAGATGTATATAGTGTGTTCAAAGTTCAATATGTTTTAACAAAAATTTTGTTATTGATATATATTTTTTTTTTTTCTTTACTTTTAATTTATTTTAAATTATTTATTTTTAATTTTATTCAAATTGTTTTAATTAATCTTGTGTTCTTCTTTTGTATCTTATCTTTTATTTTGTTATTTTATTTTATTTTATATATATATATATATATATTTTTTTTTTTTTTTTCTATTTTATTTCTATTATATATCTTTATTTTCTATTTTCACTTATGTTCTCATTTCATATAATTTTTTTTTCTTATTTTACATGTATTACATAATTGCACATAAAAATAGAGCTGTAATATACTTATAAATTTTTTTTTAATTCTCTAAAATATTCTTAGAAGATTGCAAATTTAAAAAAAGGGAAAAAAATTTAAATATCATAATGTAAAAATTTCCAGATTAAAAAAAAAAAAAATAAAATAAAAGTTATAGTAAAAAATCTTCTAGATTCACATACATTTGTATAAATTTATGTTTCTATTAATTTAAAAATAAAATGTATAAATTAAGATTATTGTATCCTTTCCCTTCTTTATTAAATTATATTGTTATATAAAACAATTACAAAATACAAGAGGAATAAAAAAAAAATAATATAAAATGAAATTAAAAGCACTTTTTAGTACCTTGAAACAATATTTTTAAAAATAAAGTCAATAAAAAGAGTTATATATATATATATATATATATATATATATATATATATATATAATATGGAAGATATATATAATATTTTAAACATAAAAGAGAAAATATCAAAATTTATATAAAATTTTAATTAATATCTTTATACATGTAAATGATAATTTGTGTGAAATAATAGAGGATACTACGATATATATTTTCCTTAATGACAAAAAAAAAAAAAAAAAAAAAAAAAAAAAAAAACAATAAATATCAATTATATATAATTAAGAATAATAACTAAAAGATAAATAATATAAATGTACACACTTTTTTTATTTTTTTTCTGATTATGTAATATCAGTTATTCAACATAAACAATTTTATTGATTAGATTTATCCTTTTATTATATAGATATAAGCAATAATATTATTTTATAATTATAATAATAATAACTTTTAAAATTATTATATAATTGAATTTTATTATTATCTATATTTATATTATGATAAAAACTTCATATGTTTTTGTTGCTCAAAAAAAAAAAAAAAAAAAAAAAAAAAAAAAAAATTT